TTTTTTTTTATAAATATCACTTAGTCCTCAGAATACTTTTTGCTGCTCATTTAGCAAAGTAATTGGTTAACCAGTTGGCCTGGCCCTCTTCAATCATTTTTTTGGTTACATTTGCCATTGGCATGTTGTAATGATTACTGCCTCAGTGAAAAACAAAATGTTTATGAGATCAATTTATAAGGAAACTTACAAACCAGAAGATCCCACAAAAGCCATACTCAAGGAATTACAAAGGAACTCAAAAGATCTCACTGACAAGACAAAGCTGTCAAACTGCTGGTCATCCTATGAAATTTGGAGACTACTGAGATTTATGTAGAAGCTAGGATCAATGTGATAGTGCAGACTTGATCAAGATATTTGGAGAAGGATCCAAGCTCTTTGTAATTTCCCCTGGTAAGTAATGTTTTATAAATTTTGCCAATGAAAAGATGTTTTTTAGGACACAGTTATGATCAACATTATCTGTCTTTGCTATGTTTTTGTCCTCATTCTAGGAAAAGCAATTACTATACAGGTACCAGCTATTGAATGTGGAAAGCGATCTACTTTGTAAATAGTTTCTTCCATTCCCATCAGTGCAGAAACTGAAATTTTGCATTTGGAATGTGCACACACACATGGTAGACTTGGGCTAGAAAGGAACATTTTTTTTTAGTTTCATGCCAGTAAACTGTTGGTGTGGAAAGTATTTCCAGAAAAGTCCTCAACATGGAATTTTATTAGTTGCCTCTTTTAAGATTTGACATAGTACTACTTTCTCCAGATATGCCACAAAGTATCTATTCCCTTATTTTTCTTTTAATCTCATTGCCAATAATGTGAAAAGAATCAACATGGTAGATGACTGTATCAGTGAATGCCATTTCTGACCAGGCAGGCTGTGAACAGTCAAAATTTGTGCCACTGTACTCTGATTTTATTGCCTGGAGAAGGTCCAGTGTACTGGAATTTTCAAGTCCCAGAAAACTTTTCTGTTCAAGAAAAATATATTCATGCTTTAAATCCACACTTACTTGTTCATTGTCTCATCATATGACATCAGATGACTTACTTGAAGATTTGTGTGTGTGTGTGTTGCATGCTGGAGAGAAAAGGGTAGACAATTCACAGATTTAACCCTATAAATTTTCTAGTTCAATGGATAAGTTTTCTCAATTTTGGTTTCACTGGGCTTACAGTGTTCTTAGACTTGTCCATGCCAGAGAAGCTGGAGGTCCTGGGTTCATGAACTGCTTTCCTTTCATAATTTGCATAGTACTTGTTGCTTATAAAAACCCATACACAGATTGAGCGTCCCTGGAAAAAAAATCATGGAAGTCGTATGGAATATAAGTTTATTGAATGTCCAACTCAGGATTCCTAAGGTACTTCTATAGAATGACAATTCATGTTGACACCATTCAACTCTTTTTCATTTTTGTACTGGCATCAGTTTGTCCAGTTGAAAGATTAGGGCTGCTGAAGGAGTATTGGCAGCTCTACTAAGCTGCATCCCTCCATAACAGAACTCAGAGCTGGCTTAACATCAGGAGACAAAGCTGCTGCAGAAATATGCACTGGTTAGGCCTCTCTGAGGAGCAGCACAAGGTTAAAATTCAATGCCCAAGAAACTGCAGGGAATTTTCAAATCAAAAGGGACAGGTGTTCAGCAACGATTAGCTTAAGAGATGATCATTAAGAATAAGGGACAACTCAACTCTATTATCAATGGGAACTGTGGTCTAAGAAGTTCAATCAATCCAAATACTCATACCTCATTCATATGAATCCCCAAATACCCATAAATCTTACTGAATATACATTTTAAATGCTAACTATATGATTGTCATGTTTATATTTGAATATTAAATGAATATTAATTAAACTACAGTCTGGGACTAAGAATTGACTTTTTTTTACACCTAAAAAGTCTTTAAGGGAGGAGATTTAGATGCTTCTGGAAAAGTCATGAGATGAATAAAATCAGACTTTCCCAGATATACAACTCAAGAGAACAGAAAAAAAATCTATGCTTCCCAGGCAGAGTGAGCTAAGTCCTTAAATTCCTGATTATATGCTTTAATGTGATTTTATGTGAGCTTTGTCTTTAATACCAAGTTAGACAGTTTACATATTTCAGTATAACACTGCATAAATATTTGCATAAATTAAACTGAGAGAAGAGGAGGGTTTATAAATAGTGACTAGAAATTGGGTCAATTTGAAGAGGAACACAAAGAGAGATTTTTATAAAGACTTTCTATATAATAGGCAACTAGTGGCAATGAAATCAGAGTGTATGGTCCTGAGACAGAGCTCATTGTTACAGGTAAATTTTCTCTTAATTCTGCAGGATGAAGTGGGAAAGGGAGAGAAAAATGTAGTTTCCATGGGTTCTAGAAATAACAAACAGGAAAAAATGAGAAAGAAATATGCTAAACATATCACTGATCACAGAAGGATTAAGTATTTGATGATTTAGCCATAGGATGATTCAAATTTAAAATATATCAGTCTGTGATCGTAGGGAAGATGTAAGCGGCCATTATTATTTTTTTAAAGTTAGTTCAAATGATTTCTTCATTCTTCATTATTCTTAAAGATGCAGTTCTGCCTGGATTAGGGAAAACATCTCACAAAGATGATTGTAGCCTACTGGATCCACTAAGATGGACGTTTTCAGGGACTTTTCACAAAGTTGATAAAACATTGAAAAATGTAAAGGGTGGTACTTCTTAGTTTTCTTGGTGGTTGAGATTGTATAAAGAAATGAAATCATTAACTGGAAAGCTATTTTTGCTCTTCTTTTTTCCAGGGGACTCAGTATGAATGTGACAATCAAATGAAATAATTGTGCCACAGTAAGAATTCCTAAGTTCCCTGTAAAGTGCTTTTTTAGGAGTACATAGAACAAGCAAAAATGAACCTTTGATTCTGGAATGTGACGTCTGGGGCTACTATTCTCTATGTACCCATATTTCAGCAAGTAACTTTGGATTCACCAGATATTAGTTTATTGAAATGAAAAAAATTCTTGCTGTTTATAGAAAAGGTGGGAAATACTTAAGAATTTATATTGAACTTCTAAGCACCATTTTCTTATATTTCCATCTACTTTACCACAACTTCCTAAGAGATCTCAGGTCCAGGTGTCTATCTGAAATTTCTGTGTGGGTGCCGCTGCATATTTTATCCCCCCGGACAATTTTCTACTCACTTTGACTTAAAGCATTTTCCATTCATTATTATTCTATTCATGCATTAAGTAACTGCTATAGAGACCTTAGTCCCAAGTAACAGTTGCCAAATCCACATTAAACTTCTTTGTTCTTTCTCCTTTACCCTTGCTATTCCAAGACCAGTACTAACTGAGTTGAGTTTAGACTGATATCTTGATCAAGTTGTAATATTGGACCATATGGCTGGAAAAGCATCTTTTTATTTGAAAGGCTACACACAGTCTGTGCCACAGATAACTCTTGTATCATGAAGGGTAATCTTGGGACAGAAAATCTTATGTTCTTATGCTCCTGCACTGTGTGTTTAAATTCAACATTTCTATGATTTTACCATACAATTAGGATTCGTAAGCATAATCTCTATCTCTTATGCCTTATTTGAGCTGGACCTTACAAAACAATCAGGCACTGAGGCCAAAAGACAAACAGGCTGGAAAAAATAACCCAGGGGTCATGTATTTAAATTTCCTATTTCCTCATCTAATTGAGAAGATCTAAAATAAAATTAACAAGTACATTTAAGCAAGTAAATAAAAATAGAACAATGAGAGCTGTGAGGAAAAGAGAAGTAAAAAGGCACATAATTATCTAATAGGAAGTCCAGAAGAGAATTTTACTCTGAAAGGTAAAAGAAAAAAGTACTGGGGTGCATACTTATTATCATCTGGGTAATAAACGTAGTGGCATAGATACTTATTATTATCCGGTTAATAGAAGCGTACTAAATTTTCCAAATATAGTATCTTTTCCATTATAAAGTTAGAAAATGCTTTCAGTGAGTAAGTCCTTCAGGAGGAAATTGAAGCGAGTGGACATTGCCTTCAACTTCCATTTCTGGATATGAAGGAAATGGTCCTTAAGTCCACTTCACAGTGCTGGATTCACTACTGTGGATCTCCTAATATTTAATGTCAAGCAGATGGAGACTTCTGCACACAGAGCCAGGCAGATAGCATTTGGTGACCAAGATGGCTTTGAGGACCAGATCTTCTGCCATTTCTTTAGTGATTCTGCTTGGAAGGCCCAGGCTGGGAGTTGCAAGCTGGGCTTTATAGCATGAGATGATGGAAAACAGTTTAGGCTGAATATTCTGGAGAAAGCTTGAAATTTACATGTGTTGTACTTCTCATTGGGAAAAGAAACCTTTGTGTTGTCAGCACAAGTGAACCATCACAACACACTGCCTCACATGCAGGCCTGCACCAGGACTCCCTTTGATTGCCTAACAGCAGCAGGTGAGACAGGTGAGAGCCTTTAGAAGTTCAGGAGTATGCAAGGCATGTTTCTTGTGATGATGGCTTGGGAATTCCAGGCATACTAGAGCATAGTATATGCACACGGAGGACAGAGACAACTCTCCCCAGTTAATTACCATTGGTTTATTGTGTTCTCCAAATGCTGAATTTTTATGAGTAAGTTCAAGGCTTGGTTTTATGAGATTAAAATGTCATGTTGGACCAGAGTCAGCGTGAACAAGTTGCTAACATATAAGTTGCTAACATCAGAGTGAACAAGTTGTTAACATCAGTGCTGATGCCAATTTTGAATCTCTTTGCACTATCATTATTTTGTTGGTTTTTGGGAGGATAGGGAAGAAATCACCAAAACTTTAAAGACATTTGACTTGCTTAGTCATGGAGCTTGTTATGAGCAAAATAAATGGGACAAGTTCCCTAGTCTCTCCAGAATTCTAGGCCATTGGGTTGCCTATAGAATTTGAAAATCACAGGGATATTCAACTAGACAAAGGTTTTTGATACAGATGAAATCATTGTGGAGTATGCTGAGAAAATCTTTGGTGGAGGAACAAAACTTATTGTTACAGGTAAGTCAAATAATGCAGCATTTCTGAGGTAGTAGAGAGCAAATAAGAAGCAACCTTATTGGAATAATAGTAAGGATTTTCAGAAAAAAAGAGGTATGTGATGGAGATTTCATGTAGAAATCTGAGGAGAGATCTTAATACAAATACTAAAAAAGAAATATAAAAGACTGTGGAAGTAAATATTCTAATAGGATTTGGCTTTGTATATAAATGAGCTTCTATAACATGCTTATATATAATATATGGAACAATGTTATTGACATGTTTGGGCCTATGACATGTTCACGGTTATAGATAAAATCTGTAATAGATTCAATAGAGCAGACACATTCTCTTTCCTCATGGTCAAGTGTGCTGTGGAAGAGGGCTTTTCAGGAAGGCAGACCTGGAGCCAAGGCTGCAACCTTCACTGCTTAGTGAGTGAGAGCAATGTGTCTTTGACCTGTTTCCTAACCCATCAAATGGGATAATAGCACTAACCCAGCAAGATAATATGAGAATTCCTTGACACAGTGTCACTGAAGTCCTTGACACATCGTGTAAACATAATAGGTGCCTAATAAGGTTCTTTTCACTAGAATTTTTTTGTTTTCAGACCGCGTCTCTCTATGTAGTTCGTGCTGATCTTGAACTCGCTATGTAGCCCAGGCTGGTGCTGAACTTGAAGCAATCCTCCTTCCTTGTCCAGGAATGTTCTTGTTCAAATGTAAAGAGAACATAATTTCCACTTTGAAGAATTACTTCTAGCTCATAACATCTACAGAGCAGAAATTCTCCAGAGGATTCAGCTTTACTTTTAAGTGTGGAAATGGAAGGTCATCTTAACACCTAGTCATACAAGAACTTGAATCTGTGGGCATTTGTTTCCATTTTGTGAACTTGTACATCACTCAGAAAGAATAACCATATGAACTAAAATGTATTTTCAAAGAATTTGCTTTTTGTTCTACGTGCTTTGAATATTAATTCTTTTCCTTAATTTATTATCTTTCTAAAATCAACATTTATTAGTAATAAAATTTATAATTAGCAAGTTTAGGCTTTGCCCATATTTACCTAAAAAGAACTATAAACTCATATTGAAAATGTACAAAAAATAAAATCAATTAAATACAGTAGGGAATTAATCATAAAGATGAAATACATCTTAAAAATTAAATGGATGTAACTCTTTTATGATAGAAAAAATAGAAAAATACAATATGTATATTTAAAATATATCTCCAACAGAAAGTATGAGATTTGATAAATTTATATGCAGTTTACCTTGCTGCCTCTTAAAATATAGCAACTTGTGAAATTTAACTGAAAATATATTGTTTCATTATTCAAAGGAATACACATAAATGAATTGGATATGTTTATTCATTTTTTTTCAATAAATGAAATATATAGTAGCCACTTTATGTGTTATTCAAATAAAATAGGATGACTGACATTCTACATATCATGAAAAATATTTCAAGCATGGAAATCACTCTTAAAATATACATTTAAAAGTAATCCTTTAAAAGACCATATAATATAGGGCTCTAAAATATATGTACTAACTATAAATAATCAAGCACACTACTTATGCTTAGTTAACTATTATATTGAAGAAATTATAGATGTTCAAGATTCATTTCATCCCTGAAAAAAGAAAGCTGAGGAAAAGAGACAAGATGCAATGAAGACTGCACTACCACACAGTAATTTTTCCAATAAATTATTTGATTTTTCAGTTTTTTTATACTGAATCAAAAGTATTGCTATAAAGAAACACAAGTTCTCAAGATGAAAATTAGTTTTCAAATATATAGATTAAAGAATCAATTTATATAAATACAGTGTGCAACTGAACATTAATCTTATATTTTACAACTTGCTTTTTAAATTTAAAATACAAAGATGTAGAGATTACAAGATCTTTCTAAGTACAATAAAAATAAAATGTATGAAATTAAACACATTATTACCTAATTATATTTATATCATGTTAAAATATTAATATTATGTTTACTGATTCTGAATGAAACTCAGGAGTTTTGGTATTTGCTACAATAGGCAGAAATAATCAGGAACTTTTTCCCTTTTCTTGTTATACTATAAATCAACTTGTTTAATTTTCATAAGAAATTAACTATCGAACAATTATATGTTCAAGCTAACCCAAAGAGAATATTGACAAAACATTCAAATTTCAATTGGAAATCCAATTAGAAAGAATTCAAGCATTTATAATTTCTCCTTGCATTAAATGTAAATTGATAATCAGTTAAGAGACACATAATAATTCCTTGTAAACAGATGATGCTTACTTTATATTTTGGCATTCTATAATATCAGTAGTTTAAGAGGAAGACAATGACCAAGCTCCAAAGACTAATAAGATACATACTAATTAATTTTGGAAGTTATAGTGAGATTCAAAATATAGACATGCAGTTATGTATAGATTTTCTGCCTAATAAGGTCAATTCATATTAAAGCAACTATGAAATGAAAAACACACCTCTAGTGAATCCTTAGTGATGTTGAATTTCCGATGAAATACCAAAATAAGATATGCTTTTGGTGAACATTTTCTAAAGCAAAGCAAAATTCTGATAAACATTACTTCATTAGATTCACATAAGGACATTTCTGAAAATAAATCAACTCTTTAATAGAAGGTGTGGTGGTGTTGCTATTTTGTTTCTGAATTCAAGACACTGCAAATAATTTGGAAGTGCAGTTTTAAATACTGCCAGATCCAAAAAAGCTAAGTAGGTCAAGTGAAAAAGTGAGATTTTTGTACAATGATAAAGATTAACTAGGAGAATTTCAGGAACTTCAGAAATGGACATATGATCCATATTGAATCTCAGAGGTCAACTGGATAGACTGTGAGTACACGTGAAAGTAGATACCCATTCAAAGAAGTCAGTGCATATTGTTACTAAAAAATTAAAATCTTCCTCCTAGCACTTATCTCTATGAGAAATAAGATACTTACAGTGCATCCTGAAGTAGAGTGAGTTGTGCAGAATTGCAGACAAAGCATGGGAACATGAGTTACCTGACCAGAAAGCATAAATGACAAAGGATAGGAGAGGGAAGCACTTCACAAGAGACCTTAGCTTTTCACTGTAGAGGTTACGAAGTGACCTAATCTCCTGTCTATCCCCTGACATGCATCATGAAAACACAATCCATTGTGGAAAAAAATGAATAGGTTCATGAATATTGGAAGCCTTGGTTTTGAAGTTCTTCATCATATCCCATCTTAACATGTGGAGAAAAGACAAAGGCAAGGTGTTTGTTGTAGTCTATGCCATTTAATAGTGGTGATTTTGGCAACTTGTTTAACTTACTGACCTTCTCTTCTTATCTATAAAGTAAGGATAATAATCAGGGTCATGCAACAATGGCAGATGAAAGGCCATGATGGGCATTCATTCAATGGCAGCTCATCTTCCTATTACTGTGAGGTAGGTACAGTGCTTACAACCACACATGGTTTGTGTTTTCTAGTAATTCTCTTCATTGATGTTCCATTTCCTCCACAGATAAAGTGCTTGACGAAGACATTTCCCCCAAGCCCTCTATGTTTCTTCCTTCAGTGAGTGAAACAAATGTTGATAAGGCTGGGACATATATTTGTCTCTTGGAGAAATTTTTTCCTGAACCTATTAAGGTATCTTGGAAGGAAAAGGATAATGATGGCATTCTGGAATCCCAGCAGGGAGATACAGTGAAGATTAACAACACCTACATGAAACTTAGCTGGTTAACCGTGACTGGAGACTCCATGAGTAAAGAGCACAAATTTATTGTCAAACATGAGAATAATAAAGGAAGAGGTGATCAGGAGATTGTCTTCCCTCCAATAAAGAAAGGTATGTGTATATTAATGTAAATACAACCTTCCCGAAAATTTATCTGAAAGGGAATATCATCTGTCAAGTATCAATGCAAACAAATATATGAAGAGAGATCACAAAATACAATGAATGTTTAAATTTTAATAGAAATGATCACATTAAAATATACGTTGTCATTAATCCCCCTCAAAGCACACTTATCCCAGAGGTCTTGCCACTTTCTAAAGGAGGTCTGGAAATCCTTTTGTGCGAGTGTCTAGTTGCACAGTCATGGCTGCCTGAATGTTTTGAATTGATTCAAAACATTAACTTTTCATGCTCACTTTGACTTTGCCAGAAGTGGCATGGTGCTGGGTCCAGGAAATAAGCTAGGTAGAGATATATAGCAACGTTTTCATAAACCTACCTTTCCACCGGATGGCACTTGGTGAGAGCATTCATCGTATTTTAGATTATACCTCTTAAAGACACTCACAAAAGAAGCCTTCCAGAACTGCTTCGGAAAGTGGCAAGAATAACAAGATAACTGAGTTCAAAGTCAGAGGGAGTATTTTAGAGGGATTACTATCTCAGTGTACTTTCTTTTCTTTAAAAGCACACCATATTTTTTGATCAGTCCAGGTAAATCTTTCTTAAATTAGCTTGCATTTAATTATAGCAGGATTATTCTATATTTCTGACTAACATAATAATTATAAACATTTTTGAGTAGTCTTAGTATTTTAGTATTGAAACTGAGACTGAGAAAGTGTATGTGAACTTTTCTTTTTGTGTTCTTCAATGCCTCTACCATTTTAACTATTCTATGGGACAATACCAGGGAATTTGTGCTATTCCTAGAATTTATATGTGGATCAAATGAAACAACATACATGAAAACACCTACTACCTGTTAGTGGGTAGTTGCTACCTGTTAAATGCTAAAAGGAGTTTATTACCTGTTAAATGCTAAAAAGAGTTTACTACCTGTTAAATGCTAGAAGAAGTTTTCAGTTTTGATGACTTTCCTTGATTTATGAGAGGGAACAATTAGGCATCTCTCAGCAAGCAATGCCACCCACTTCAGCATTGCTAGGCAAGAAGTTTATTCTACAAAGAATAAGTTCTTAATAAACAAAATAGTGCTCCTATGAAAGAGCCAGATCCCAGTTCAACATAATATAGGATAACTTTAGCTGCTGCACTTTCTTTAGCTGTCTTATGTTTTTCTGATTTTTACTTATGCATCACTATTAGTAAAATTTCATAATTTAAGGGTGAGTGAGGCTAATGTGTATGAACTTATTTCCTTTCTCCATTATGGATGCATATTTTGCCCTTGGTAAGTGCCAGAAGTACAAACATTTCCTGTACCACTAGCCTATGCCAGCCTCAGGTGGGAATGTGGGTGAAGAGTCTAGCACGGTCTACCTAGTGTCCCACGGTGGATGTGTAGCAGTGAAGAATGGACATTCTTTTCCTAATTACTCAGGCTCGTCTTTCAAAGGAATCTGTCTGATGCAGTGGGGTACAGGTCTGCACAGCTGGGCAGAGGGCTAAATATGCAGGGGCCTGGCAGTCGTCCAGTGTGCGTCAAAGTCCCAACTGTTAAACACTAATCCAGTGGCTCCAGAGTGGCCTTGAGAGAGAATCATTTTATTGTACTTTTCCATGTGGCTGAGGGGTCTTTATGAATCTGTGGGGCTCACAAACAAATCAACATGTGTAAGACCTTTGCCATGAACCATCCAGATTTCTAGGTGCAGCTTTATCTTCTGGAATCCTTAGTTTCTGCAGTGACCAGTGAGATCACAACAGTTGTCTGGATTTCCCTGGGGATATGAGGAAGGACAAATAAAATAATGTGGGTGAAATTTTTGGTTTTCAAAAATATAGCATGAATGCATTTTTTATATATATATATATAGTATGTGTGTATGTGTGTATATATATATGTACATATGTATACATATAGTACTTATGCTATTACGTATTTATACTATTTCCTAAAGCAAACTAAAGTAAGATAACAAGAAGAGTCCCTATTTTCTATTTCTATTGCTCAGAAGCTGAGGAGGGAAGTATACAAAGTGCAAGGCTAACACAAGCAATGTGCCTAAGTATCCAATTATTCTTAGATATTTTCTTGCAATTAGGGAAAAATAAAATGCATAGTAACTCCTATGACAATTATCATACTGGAGTGAAGTTTCAATTTTATGTTTTACTCTGCTCTGAATTCTCAATCATGTATCTTCTTAGGGCGTGTCAGGGCAACAAAGCTGGGGGCACTTCTGTTAGTGTTCTCCAACAGCATATTTCTAATGCTGCTTCCTAATTTTTTATAAAAACTAAAAGAAACTTCTTGGAAAGACAAATGAATGAAGTGAAATGTAAGGAAAATAAAACTAATCTATTCCAAGTTTGTAGTCAGTCTTAACTGAGAGAGAGAACTTAGGATAGGCTTATAGATTTTATTGTCAGCAACTGTATTCTTTTGAATTCCACCGATGCCTGATGATAAAGCATTTTCATTTATCTTTTACTGAATAACATCATCATAAGAAAAAAGGAATAGATATTTATGAACTGTTAACATCAATTTATCAAGGTACTTTGATATCCAAACTGTGCATACTAGCATTTTTATTTTTGAGACTTACCCAAAGAATCTGAGCTTCCAGTCCATTTCTTCATGCATGAACAATAAAACATCACCATGGATATGTGAAAGGGCAGAGTGGAACTGTGCCCATAAAGATAAGAACACTTACAGCAGAAAAAATTAAACCAAAACCACCATCATGGCATTGGTTCTCTGTCCATTTTAAGATTTTCATCTTTGTGTGGATATTGACTTTTTTTATTTTTAACTACAAATAAATACAGCTCCCTCCTCAATATTTATTCAAAGGACTAGAAGGTGACTTGAATTATCCTTCTTCCCCTGAAAGAATTGCACTAACATGCTGAGCTCTGTTATGGTTTATGTCTGTGTGTCCCCCCAAAGCTTCATGCGGTCATGGGGCAGGCTTTTAGAGTTTGATTGATTATGGGTGTGAGAGCTACATCCTCCTTGGGGTGGACAGTTTGCACATGTAAGGGAGAGGAAGAGGTTGCTTGCCACCATTCCTCCCTTTTGTTTTTGTTGCTTTTGCTGTGTTCTGCCGCCATGAGCTGTAGCCCTCTGCCATGTGCCACTCTGCCCTGTAACCTGCCAAGTATGGACTAAAACCTCCACAAACTGTAAGTGAAATAAACCTTTCCTTCCTTAATTTTGGGCATCAGGTATTTTGTCCCAGCAAAGAGAGAAAAGTAACCAAGACAAGCTCCTATATTTAAAAGGCCTATTGGCTAAGAGTAATTTAGATGTTACAAGAGAAGATTTTGTGGTGTCCACACTAGGGATTAGATGTTGTTTCTCTGTGATTATTTTCTGTATGTTTCTGTAGATTTACTCAGCACTCTCCATGTGCCCTATGTTCTTTAATCCTTCACAATATCTTTTAAATGTTGGTTGTGCTGTTCTCTTATGACTCTTACCAAACTATCTACACTCACCAAACTTTATTTCCTCATTCATAACTTGAGGCTGTCCAGAATATAGCTTATATATGCTTTACTAGGAAATTAAATAAATAACACAGGTACAGCATGAAACATAGTGCCTGGCATAGCCCTGACACTGAATAGGCATTAGCTTTCATTAATATCATCGTTTTCATGTCCACAAATTTTGGACCTCTCCCAAATCATGTGCGTGAGTTGGGACAATGCTGTTGTATGACCTGCAAAGATTTAGCTCCTTTCCTCTGCTTAGATGATAAGTTTCTCTAAATTAAACTCCTTTAAATGTGTGTGATTCTGTTTTCCACTCTAGAATAGAATGGATTCACTCAGGATGCATATAAAGCAGCCAATTTGCGTTTATTTTTCCATTACAAATGCATTTGTGGGTTACTTGTTTTGTGCAGTAGACTGAACGAGGAGTTATCAATACAGAGGAAAACTACGCAGTCTTGAATGTTACATTCCAGTTTTAATAAAAATAATGTGCCTTTTATGAACTTCAAGATCTTTGTAATATATGGATGATATCTAGTGAAATTCAAGGAGTCAGAAAGAATTACTTTTGGAATTGTGAGGACTGTATTTTAAATGATTGTCCTTGTCTATCAATAGATTATGCACTTATGTAAATATGTTTGCATACACATACTTTCAAATGAAAGGGAATAATAATTGACCAATACTTGCTCTTATTTTTTCTAGTCACAACTTCTGAAGTTTGCTTGAAAAATGAAAATGGTAAGATTTATGTCATGTGATGCCATTTCTTTCTTCCTGACCATCTTAACTTTGAATTCTTCCAGAATAGCCTTTTAATCCACTGTCTCCTAGACATTAGCAAAATAAGCAACTTGTTTTCATAGGAGACTATAGGAGAAAGAATCCCCCTTCTGTTTTATAGGTTGTGACAAGAATTAATTAAGATTAAAGCTTTATGTGCAAAGCTGTCAATACCATTTGCCATTTGGCTGGTGGTTAATGTATATTTTCTCTGATTATTACTCATAGAGGTGATTAGGAAGAACAAATATTACAACTTAGTTATCACACATTCTTTTGCCCTTACAGAAATCCATCATTGAAACTGCAAAAAAAAAAAATTAATGTTAATCATGTTCTAAATGAATTTATAGCAGGTGGTTATGAACTTGTGTTGCAAGCTGAATTTTGCCCGCGGTGATCCTGGTGGGAGTGGCAGAGATTGACGTTTGGGTGTGTGGGTGGTGTTCCCTCAGTGCAGGTCATCAGAAATCTGTGACACCTTCCCATGGTGTGTCCCATGCTGTCACATATGCAGCTCTAACTTATGACCTGACCTCTCTTAGGTTTGCTGGGCGTGCAGCTCACCAGCACCTCTGCCTACTACACCTACCTCCTACTGCTGCTCAAGAGCGCCCTCCATGGAGCCTTCATCCTCACCGCTTTTCTGGGCAGATGGTCGGCTGTTTGCAGGGACAGGAAGAGAACCTGACAGATAGAGGCATACAGGGCTATGGTCTCCACTGTTTCCTGTCTCCAGCAGCATCTGCTAAGGTTGGGCATGGTTTGCTAGGCTCCAGCTCCTGAAGGCGATGTGCATATTATTCTGTCATTATCACATAGGGGCTTTCCAACTTCACTGTCACAGCAAGGCTTAGCTCATAGCACTGAAACCACATCTCTCTTTGGTCCCCATAGGCCATCCAGCTGGCCCAGGTCCTCACAACCTTGACATGCACAGTTCACCACTTCTGGTCAGGTGCCCAGTGCCCTTGCACCAGGTCACCCCTGGAAGCCTACACTCTACTCACCTTGACAGAGCCTTCTTGGCTATTGAATTCCATGCTTTGCTTTTCATGGCTGACAGAGTAAATAAAAACTATCAAGACAGTTCCTTGGGCTGTGGATACTTCAATTTGATGATACTGAATTAACAAGAAGATGAGAATAGCATGACAACTGGGACCTGGCCTTCAGAGCTGATGGATACCAAGGGTCCAGTACCACAGTTGTATTTCTGTCCCTGTGGTGGTGATTTATGTCTCTTTCTTTGGGGCACTGACTCTAGGAGAAACCACTGACAAATGAAGATGAACACATCACTGTTCTCTTCGGGGTCTCCAGGTTCAGGTTCATTTAGTTTGAGACATTCAGTGGCCATAGTGAAATGTCCAATGTGCTTGGCATCCTGAGTGCTCAGCTCTGCGCTAGTGTTCACAGTATCAAGTGTCCTCCTCCTCACAATGCTCCCCTGAGAGAGAGACACCAGCCCCAGGGTGACACCAGCCTAAGGCAGCATGACAAGGTGTTGAGCACACAGACTCTGGACCCAGACAGCCTATGTTTAAATCTTGGATCTGGAATTTAGTATCTGTGTGACCTTTAGCTCTTTAATCTCTCTATGCCTTAATTTTTGCTGGACAATGAAGTTAGCATGCAAACACAAAAGTAAAAATTGTTACTTGTTTCCTTCATGTCTATGTAATTTGAATCTAAATGAATAAATTATATTCTGCACCAGGCCCAGGCAATGTGTGTCAGAAAGTGTGTGGAACAATTGTTGTATAGAAGCACATTGTTGAACTCTCTGAAAACTAATGTCAATCTCCCATTCACTGAATGTTAATGTTCTCTATTAATCTGTGTTCAGACGGACCCAGAAGTCATTTTGGCTCTCTAAGGGGACTCCAGGTTATTCAGTGTATGTCTTTCTGTTATATAGCTGAAGCAAGAGCTTCCACATCTTTGAGCTCCTGAAGCGCATAATTCTCACACATAGCTACATCTATCTATGCCAGTAGGTTCATAGACATAGTTCATATGCTACTTTGTTGACAATGAGAACATCAAACTAAAAGAAATCAGAATCCTTACACTGAATACCTGGAAAAAGTACAGGTACTTGGTAGAATGTTCTGGATAATCCTGAGTTGCCAATTGTTCCTTCCTCCAGCACAAGGTCAGGGCAGTGACAGAAGGAGCAGTATCCACACAGTTCTTCGCACCAGGTTCCCAACTCCCACAGCAGTTAATGTCCTTTCTGTGTTCCATGTAGGACGCCCACCCACCCACCCACAGCATGGAACAGAAGGTTGATGGCAGTCGCACATGTGTGGAGGTGGATATTTTCTTTGCATTCATTAGCTGTGACTTTTCAAAAGTGAGGCAGGTTGGCTGTGGTTTAACTGTGCTCGGTTTCCCTTCTAACACCTTCACCACTCCTTGTGCTGCCCCAACCAGTCAGAGCCGGTTTGTCTTTGAGCCTCTTCCAAGAATCAACCACATTCGACAGAGCACAGAAACAGAACAAGCCTGAGAAAATGAAGCCCCACCAGCCACACCAGTGCCTCCTGTCACCCACTGTGTCCCTGCCTCCCCAGGCCTCTGCTTTGTGCTGCTGAATTTTAGAGCAGCCCAGGTGGATAGGGAAGGAGGATGCTGAGAGTTCTCAACCCCTGGGAACCCTACCTGGGGCCTCCTGTGACATCAGCCCCACAAAGCTGTGGGTGGTGTGATTATTTCCTCTCTGGTGCTGTGCATTTGCAGTGCAGAAATAGCTCCACTCTCTGCGTAGAGGGCAGGGATTGGTCTAAGGTCTGGGTTCACAGGAATCAGGGAGTCGATTTCAATTACATTTGGTGTTTCTTCAATCTGAGTGGTCTTATTTTATTTCCAAATGAAAACCTCTGCTTGTCATCCAAAAGAATCTGTTTCATAGCAACTGAAAAACAATTAAACAAAACTTTGCTAATGTCAATATGACATTGTCTTAATTCTAATGCACTTAAGTTTTTAACTTTGAGAGGATTCATTAAAGAAAGCAGTAAAATACAAACTTATTTTATTATCCACCCATGGTACTTTGAACATTTTGTTTCATATTTTGGCTTGCACAAATGCAGACACACAGGAAGCAGGCGTCAGTCTTGTTAGTATTATTACTTAGTAGGAAACACTGTCAGAGGGCATGAACAAATTTGCAGTGAACTACAAACAGACCTTAAACATATGAACAGATGCTTGTCCTCACTCATAAATGGAGAAAAGCAAAATAAATCTACACAAGATCCTATTTTTCGGGGCTGGGGATTTAGCTCAGCGGCAAAGCGCCTGCCTGGCAAGCGCAAGGTCGTGAGTTCGGTTCCCGGTACCGGAGAAAAGATCCTATTTTTCACTTGCCAAATTCACAAAACCGTGACATTTGCCAGCCCACTCCGGCATTCCCACACATGGTGGTAGAAAAGCAGAATGGGGCAGCCTATGCAGGACAAGCTGTCACTGTGTACTATCAACATACACATTCACAGTGATGTAAAGCTCCTTATTTATGTCAGCATTTTCATAGAATCAAATTAGGGGAAATTAATCAACCATCTATTGGAGAAAGCTGATGAAATAAAGTATTTTAGTTTTACCAATGAGCTATATTGTGGCTATCTAAGTATTTCAATACACTAACATTAAAAGAGCTTTTCTATTTGCAAATAAGAAAGGTAGATATGTATATTGTATACAACATTTGTACAAAGAGAGAAGATGGAAACCTACATATGTACACTCTACGTTTTTTTTTACAAAAGTGAGTGTATCTAAAAATATTTTTTGAATGAGATTTTTGAACAATGTGAATGTATCATCTAAAAATGTTAGTAAATTATTGTTGTGTATATTGTTTCAACACCACAGCCTGATTAATTTCCATTTCTTTAAAGAATTTAACTTTTTGGAATATATATATATATATGTGTGTATATATATATATATATATTCTTGTGGTACCCTTTATTTTATTTGTTATTCTCTTCCTTAACATTTGGGTGAATTTGTGGCTTTTGTGTGTGGTGCTACAGCGAATTAACATCTTTGCATGTACATGTTAGAACATACACTCTGTTTATGCTGAGAGTCCTGTCCAGGTAGACCGTGTCCCACAACTGGACAATGTGCTCTGGTCTGTGATGGCTCCTGATGACTTCTACTCTGAGACAACCATGCTGGAATTCAGGAGCTATTTCAGTCACTTGCTGGTCTCAGATTTAATGAAAGAGCATTTTTAAGTCCCCATAGCTGGCCTCTTAGTAGGTCTGCACTTTAATAACTCTCAGGTATCCCAGGAGAGGAGAAAGACCCACAGATAGAATGGAAAGAGCAGTGTTTCTTATATTCAATCTAGAGTGATGTGGACTCTGGTACTTGTTCAGTATTGTACAGTGGGCATATTTAGCAGTGTGGCTGACTTATTATTTACTCGTGGGCTTACTCATCATTGGGACTTTCTCTGTGATCAGCACTAAGCATGTTTAACATGAGGGATTACTCAGTAACTAACATAGGGGAAAGGCAGTTTCTGAGACCTGGTTGTCACAGTGACATGAACATGTGTGTACTGTAGTGTAATTGAGGTCTTTAGGGAGAACACAAACTGTCTTACAGGATTCTTGGTGATTATAAGTGGTAGGTGTTGGTCATTATTCAAACAAAACAAAAACTAAACAAATAAATAGCCAAACAGAGAACAATGGAAACCATGATTTTAGTCATTTAAATTTCCATGGCTCATGAAAATGTTGGATTTCTAGACTTTTGGCTGAATAAAATCATCCTGCTGTATCTCAAGGTTATTCTTATTAGTCAGAATTTCCTTCCAGTCAGCAATTGTGTTGGACTTTGGTTTATATAGTATAATAAATTAGCTATGATTAATTGTAGTCCGCTTGATAAACAAAAAGACTTCAAAAAACCTGATATATTAAAAAAATGGATCCAGAAGAATAAAGAGGATGCATTTCAAAAAATTTGGGGAATTGCTGCCTGGATGTTTCCAATTTTGTTTAATAATTATGAACTACAATTTTCTTTAATAATTCTGTTCTTGGGGCTGGGGATTTAGCTCAGCGGCAAAGTGCCTGCCTGGCAAGCGCAAGGTCGTGAGTTCGGTTCCTGGTACCGGAGAAAA